GCAATGCCTTTGTGAATGGGAGCAGAGCCACCCACCCCAATGGAGCAATCTCATATTCCCACAAGGCAAGAGAGTATCGCGAGTGAGCATGCCATGCCTCATCTTTAAAAGCTTGGTGGAAGGGATGGGGAAACTTGTTGGGATATCTGTGTTGCCCCCGTCAGTTTCGGAACTCCTTTTCCTGCTCCTGAAATCCTGAATCGTGACTCCTGGAACCTGTATCTGCTGCTGAGCTTGTACCATTACTTTCCTGAATAAAGATCTCTTACTTAGACGCGGGTGGCGCTGTGGTCTAAACCACTGAGCCTAGGGCTTGCCGATTGGAAGGTCGGCAGTTCGAATCGCTGCGACGGGGTGAGCTCCTGTTGTTCGGTTCCAGCTCCTGCCCACCTAGCAGTTCGAAAGTGCGTCAAGTGCAAGTAGATAAATAGGTACCGCTCCAGCGGGAAGGTAAACGGTGTTTCTGTGCGCTGTTTTGGTTCACCAGAAGCGGCTTAGTCATGCTGGCCACATGACTCGGAAGCTGTCTGTGGACAAATGCCGGCTCCCTTCAGCCTATAGAGCGAGATGAGCTTGCAACCCCAGAGTCGTCCACGACTGGACCTAATGGTCAGGGGTAGCTTTACTTACAAGTAAGAGCCTCTGTCTGTGTGTGTTAGGCGGGAGCCAGGGCACCTGCCTCTGAGCCCAGCAGCTGTGTGTTTGGCTGTTATGACAAGAGAGAGATGGGGAACATCTGGCCCTCCAGACAACACTGGACTACAACTCCCATCAGCCCCAGCCAGCATAGCCAATGGTCAGTGATTATGGGAGTTACAGAAGAAAAACATCCACAGGTCCCCCATATCTGAATTAAAGTAAACTTTGCTCTCCATGTATTCACCAAAACCAAAGGTTGGGAACCAGCGACCCTCCAGATGTTGGACTCCAACTACAATGCTCTCTGTCCATTTGCTGTGTTGTCTTGGGTGGGTATATGAAAGTCCAACAATGCCTAGAGTGCAACAGGTTTCCCCACCCTTCTGAACCCTTTTAAAACCATTTGGGGTTAACTGCTCTTCTAACACCATGTTGCAGTGAGTTCCATAAGTTAACTATACATTGGGGTTAGAAGGGCCAAATGCCGAATCCAACTTCAAGGCTGGATTCTTGAGGCATCTCTCCCCACCAAAATCCATTAGCAGAGAATGGCAATAAAGTGTTTGTGTAGCAGTGGGATAAAGACAGCATTAGGTGACTCAAGGGTAGGGATGGGCAAATATGTCACTTTTAGTTACTTGTTTCTCAATTTTAAGTTCAGTTCTTCACATTTCTACATTGGTCATGAAAATTCAGTTTTGGGCAAGTTTTTCCCCTCCGTCTGAACACGTTAGGTGCAATTTTTCCCAATATACACATTTTTGCAAAGCAGTTTTCCGTACTGAATCTGTGTGTGTTATTTTCACCAATATGTGCATTTATACACAAACTTTACTCTGGCGTGTCCACTTTTATACGCGTTACTTGGGTGGAGAGCTCCATTGCAGAATTTGGAAAAGTGCAAATTTCAATGGATAAAATGTGAATTTTTAGACGCGAACTGAATCAGATTTCTCCCCCCATCCTTGCTCAAGGGAACCAAGTTCAAAAAGCAAGTCTCTGCAAAAGTTTTTATTCCACAAAGCAGAACACCACCAAGTAGCACTATTCAGTTGGACATATTTTGTCGCGAAGATGCTCAGCTATCTGGATCAGACTGAAAGCTTTAGAGAAGCTGGGGGTGGGTTGGGGTGTGGAGAGAAGCCTGGCAGCATTTTATTTCTTTCTTTGCAGCCGATGTAACCAGCACCCTGTCAGTCAAGACGGAAACACAAAGCTGCCTTGGAGATCAAAAGAAAAGTAAAGGGATGATTTAACATGCATTAGAAGATTGTTACTTGTGAAAAGGCCCCTTTTCCCTTTTCTTGGTAACAACATGAATTGATACGCCAATTTGCATTTGGTTCACCAAAGAGGCCCTTGTGGATTGCATATAGATACAGTTATCTGTTTAGGGCAGGGAGGTTGGGGTTCCATCTTCGGTTTTTGTTTTTATTTAATTGGAAATCTGATTTGAGAATTAGAAACACTCCAAAGGGAAAACTGGGCAGGGGGGCTGTTTAGATGAGAGAGCATGAGAGAAGAGATTGAATGGAAACCATGATATATTTCTCAGGAATTTCTGTATTAACTTGTGCTATTGTGCACCTTTGTGTGTTTGTACCAGGGATCAAATCTTTTAAAAAAAAAATATTTATATTTTATTAAGGTGATTTCAGTTAAAAGAAATAAAGTGATGCAGAAAAAAAGAAGGGAAAGTTAGAAGGAAGGAAAACAACAAAAACGATATGTATAAAAGTGAAAATATGCACACACAAAAAGCAATATACGATATTCCCATACATTCATGTATAAATTGGTATAGTGTTATTGTCCTAGTGCTTATGTAAATGTTAATAGCCTACTACATTTAGTATAAACTCATTCCAAATGTTATAGTATTTATCTATACAGAGTCTTCACCTGTAATCAGTCCGTTCATAAATTGCCAGTGATGTCATATCATCAATCCATTGATTGAAGGGTATCATATCTTTATTTTTCCAATTCCTCAATTTCAATCTCTTGGCCACCATTAGGGCACAGGAAATCCGTTTCCGTTTTCCTGTTGATAATTTCCATACTGCAGGTATATAGTTCAATAAAATATTCTCTGATGAAAGGTTTAACTTTTTCTGCACAGTCATAGTTACACAGTCCAGCACTTTCTCACAAAACCTGTTAAGTAAAGAACACTGTACAAGTATGTGTTTCAGAGAGGCATTGTCTAAGCCACATCTCCAACACAGATTTCTTAGCTAACCCTTTTTTATACAACCGTAAAGGAGTCCAATAAACTCTGAATATTATTTTCTGTTGTATTAGTCTTAATTTTAAATCTAATGACACCTTAGGTATTGAAGCTAATACATTTTCCCACTGTCTGGGTAATAATGAAAGTTCCAATTCTTTATTCCAATCATCTCTTGCAGTCTGCATATTGAACTTGTGTATTGTTAATAGATATCTATAGAAAGTAATTTGCTGGCTTTTTATTTTTAAATTGAGTTGTCCAATTACTCCAATATCTCAGGTATCTTGGAAGCTGAAAGAGCTGGTGGCCCAAACACACTTGTAGATGTTGTAATTGAAGATATTGCCATTGGGCTGCATCTGATAGATGATATTTTTGTCTTAAAATAACAAAAGCATAAAATTCATCTTCCCCATCTATCAGTTGGTCCAATGTCGATACACCTGCTTCCATCCAATTTTTTCATATCACCATCTTTTTTGCAATTCTTAGTATGGGGTTTCCCCACAAAGTAAGTTTAGCATGTGAAAATGGATCAACTTTGTTTTTATTAACCAATATATTCCATTTTTCTAAGTGATTTAATTATTTCCAGAGTCACCTGGGATTTCATATATTTTGATCCTCGTATTGTTCAACCAACCAAAGGTGCTATGTACATATATTCTAGGGTTGCCCACATCGGAAAATTAGGGCCAACAGTGGGATTCCAATATAGCTTCCTGCAGCCAATCAGAAGCCGTGCTTTGGTTTTTGACCTTTTGGAAGTCAAACGGACTTCTGGAACGGGTTCGACTTCCAGAACCCCTGTGGTTCTCAGAAGGGGTGGCGAGCCTCATGGACCTGCAGCTAGTTTCTTCATGGCCACTTCCTCCCAGGCATCGTAAGGAAGGTCTCCCTCCACAGATGCCTCTGAATGCCAGTTGCTGGGAGCCACAAGTGGGAAGAGAGCTGTAGCGCTCGGGTCCTGCTTTCAGACTTACCGTAAGCATATGGTTGGCCACTGTGAGAAGAGGGTGATGGACTAGATGGGCCGTTGACCTGACCCAGAAGGCTCTTCTTTTGTTCAGAGCACCCTCTAGATGTGGGAGTCATCTTTCTTGGATGTACTAGAAGGCATTTCTGTGGCTCAAAGAGCTGATGGACAGAGCTGGCATCAGAAGAAGGGAATTTGGTTTAGGAAAGAGAGTGGCTTGGTCACCTCCAGTCATATCATGCCTTCCTTCCCTGTTGTATGCACCTCTTTGTGCCTGAGCATGCTGAGCTGGCGGGGTGGGGGGTGGGGAGGGAAGCACCATGGTGTCATGAATTGTTAGGGAATACATTTGTCAGCAGTGGGGCAGGAGCCGGGAAGAAGGGGAGGAGGAGGAAGGTTACCATAACAGAACAGGCAAGGGCCGTCTCGTTATTTATTTATGGGGTTTCTCCCTCTTGCTTGGCAGCACTGAGGGAGACGAGAAACAGCATTGGGGGCACACTAGCCAAGGTTAAATATTCATTTCACGACTTGGTCTCCCGATGCTCTCGAGGCTGGCTGCTCAGTCAAGCCCAAAGACCCCAGAGTCAGCTTAGCCAGATGTGGGAGTCTGACCCACTTTGTGCCTGTTGTGGGGCACTGCGGGTGAGCAAGATGTTTCTTTCCCCCTTTTTGGATGTGAAGTGGCTATTTGTCATTCTCTGAGTTTGATCCCAAAAGAGCTTAGGTATGGCTGATCAGGTTCTCCTCTCAGTGCAACTCACTCTGCTTCTGCCTGCTCCTTTTGAGTCCTCTTCTCAGCTACAGGTGGATGAAAAAGCTTTCCTAACAGGCTGATACCCTATGGTGCCAGTGCTTCGCATGTGCCCTGGCTTCCGGTGCATTTCCAGACCTAATCCAAAATGCCAATTTTATTTTTTTTTAAATATTTTATTAGATTTTCTTCCAACCATTAAAAAGTGAAAATCACCATAACAGAAACAATAACAAACACACACACAAAACTATATGCCAGTTTTAACCTTGAAAGCTCCAAATGACCTGGGGCAGGATTCCCACACATTCAAAGGAGACATAGAGACCCTTGCAGGAAGCATTGTTTAGCTTTGTTGGGTTGCCTTTACAAGTGGCTTTTCTGTGTCCTTGTTCCAGGTCTGGGAAGCATTTCTGAAACCCCAAGCTCCCCGGGTGAATGTCTTCATGGCAGTGCCCACCATTTATGCCAAGCTGATGGAGCATTATGACAAGCATTTCCGACAGCCTCACGTCCAAGATTTCATTCATGCTGCCTGCCGGGAAAATATCAGGTAGGTGGTCCTACCTGAGCCAAAGCCACAGCCATGTTTCCTCTCCCTCTTCCCCTGACTTGAATTTAGTTGCATAATGGTAACTTTTTATCCCTTCCTAGGTACCCACCCTATCCCGGAAATGGGCTAATTTATTCTGTATTGAGAGGCTGGTACTGGTTTGTTGCAGTTGAAAGGAAGGCTCTCTGCATGTGCTTATCAGCATCAACACATGCTCAAATCCCAGATCTGACGCTGATGGGTTCTGCCTTGAATTAAGCATGTAGGCCGTTCCTTCAGTTTAGTAAAGGCACACTACCTTTGCTGGAGGGTGGGTGATGTTCACATCATGGGCAAGGGGTCAGTTCCAACAGCAGGCAGATCACCTTGATTTCAAGTTGGAAAAGAGGGTGAAATCATGGGAGGGAGGCGTGCCAATTAGCAGACTCCCTTCTTCTCATTTTTTCCAATCTTAAATTCAGTTCTCTTTTTCAGTTTGTGATTTTTTTAAAAAAATGCATCATCATGAACATTCATCAGCATTTTAGTAAGAATTTCTCATAATATACACATTTCTATGCAATGCACATTTTTGCAATGTTGTTTTCCCAAAATAATGCTATTTTCACTAATATATGGGGGTTTTATGGACACTTTACCCCAGTACAGTGGTACCTCGGGTTACAGACGCTTCAGGTTACAGACGCTTCAGGTTACAGACTCCGCTAACCCAGAAATACTACCTCAGGTTCAGAACTTTGCTTCAGGATGAGAACAGAAATCACATGGTGGTGGCGCGGCGGCAGCAGGAGGCCCCATTAGCTAAAGTGGTACCTCAGGTTAAGAATAGTTTCAAGTTAAGAACAGACCTCCGGAACGAATTAAGTTCTTAACCAGAGGTACCACTATATATACACTTTTGTACACATTACATGGCTGGAGAACTGCATTGCAAAATGCGGAAAAATGCAAATGTTTCAGTTCTCAAATATTGTTTAGGAAAGGGTGTATTAGGTAGATTTGCCTTTAAATGTGAACTACTTAAAATTCTTCCATGGCCCCTGCCAGGCCCTTTCTGAGAGCTGTGGGAAAGGGTAGTCCAGGGACCCAGGGAGCTGCTGTGCCAATTGCAGAATCTGATTTCCTAGATTTCAATGGGCACTTCTTTTGGCCCCCACTCTGAAGCTCCCCAAGGAGGTTTGCAATTGTGCAGTGAATTAAACTGCCCAACACAGATGATTTCCTTCTTTCGGAAGGAGGCTTTCAGAAGGCTGAACCAGGCACCTGGCAGGGGATACTTCAGGGACAGGATATTCTGCTTCTGGGGCGGATGTTGAGCTACATGGTCGCCTTCCAATCTGGTGGCGCTGAGCCTATGATTCCGTACAGCTTGCCCTCCGAGAGACAAGAGCCAGGGATCCAGCTTATTCTCCAGGCTAACCTCCTACTATCTTGTTAAAAACCATCTGTCATGTCTCTGCTCTCGGTTTGGGTTCCAAGATGTAGATGCAAAGCCCTTTTTCTGTTCTGGCAGGTGCCCAACCCTCATCGTGCTGTCACCACTTTGCAGCAGCAAATGCCGCCCTGTTTTCTTCTCTGCTTGTGGGGCGATTGCCAGGGAACGTCTTGCTCCGGGGCAAGACTGACCCTAGAGAGTAGCCTGTCCAGTACGTTTTGCTTTCCTGGTGGCTGTCTCATGTAGGTGTTTTTTCTCAGTTACATTTTGTCCAGAGGCTGTTCCAGTGCTCACGGGGGACCAGCACTTCTTGCAACCTGTATTGCATTTGCAGGAAGCCAGGTCCATTACTTAGTTACGCAGAAGTTTTGGGAGAAGGGCCCAAAGAGGCAAACATGGATATTCTAAACTGTAGGCCGAGATTCACATTTAAAACGTTAATATCACAGAATGCAAGCCAACTGATTTCCCATCCAGATCACCGCAGATCAATTCTTCAATTAACCAGCAGCCCACCACAGATCACTCCAGATCAGTTTCTCTTCCATTCATTTACCCCAACTTAATTTCCCAACAGATCCTGCTCCAAATCAATTCAATTCCTTTTCAATTACCCCCATTCATTATCTCTACCAAAGTCATCTTAAATTGTCTTTTTCTCACCACCCCCAGTTAATATCCTACTCAGTTACCTCCTCTGCAGTTGTTAAGCAACTTAACTCTTGCTGGCATCCCTCCTTGCAGACTGATGGTATCAGGGTCTGCAGCCCTCCCAGTCCCTATCCTGGAGAGGTGGAAGAGCATCACTGGGCACACGCTGTTGGAGAGATATGGGATGACGGAGGTTGGGATGGCGCTTTCAAATCCACTCCATGGCCCTCGTATCCCAGGTAAGAATCTAGCGAGGGCTGCAAGCTGTCCTACGATGATTAAAGTGCTTTAGGTGCTGTATGTTTGGAGAAAAAGGGGGAGGTGCTTTCAGATCAGGACTGTACTAAGGGTCTGTTTTGGCAGGTAAACCCTCGTCCCTTTAAATCCACAAATAAGACTGCTACTGCTGTTTAAGTGTGTATATCAGGACTGGGAAAGCCTGTGGCTCACCTGATGTTGTTGGACTCCAGCTCACATAATCCCTGACATATGAGCTGTGCTGTCTGGAGCCAACAGGAGTTGGAGTTCAACAACATTAGAGGACCATAGGTTTCCCATCCTTGCAGTAGATGAACAGGCAAGAGACTGAGACTAAGCGACTTCTCCAAGGCCACACTGTGATTCTGAGGCAGAGGTATGACCTCCCAGGTGCTCATTCAGCTCTCTCCCCATTGCATCAGAGTCTATCTGTCTATCTATCTCTCATCTATCCATCTATCTATCTGTCTATCATCTATTTTATTTACTTCTGGAGGCCCAGTTTAGATGGTGTGGAGGCCACAAACTTATAGGATAGCCCAGCCTCTCTCCCACAACCCGGTGTCCCGCCAGCTGTCTTGGAGTAAAACTCCATCAACGCCTGATCTGGCTGGTTCTGATGGGAGCTCTTCTGTGAACTGAAAAACCTCAAATGCTGCAGCCCAGGCCAGCAAAACTCTCATCCTCAAACACATCTTCAGCTGATGTGTGCGGATATTGCTCCCCGGAGACTCTTTCAGCCACCGTGTCGTAGCAGACCCAAAGAACAGGGTTTCTTTAGAACTGCCCAGCGGAGGTGGCGAAAAGCGGCATCCTGGGCTCTGTGATTGCAGCTTTTCAGGCTTAAGGTGTTAAGCAGCAGTGGCACGATCAAAGTGCTCCAGCGCCATGACGCTCTTCCAGCGCTGTGTTCAGTAGTAGGATGCATGCCAAGAATCTCCCTAGAGACAAAGATGAAAAAGGAGCGAGATGCTGAGGTTGACACAACACAGACAAAAGAGAATAATTAGAACAACCAAAAGCTTCAGGACTGGACAGCTGGCACTGCGGGGTATGGAGTCGTCAGGCAGCATGAGAAAACGTATTGCCAAGTCAGTTCCCAGGGAGCCTCGCCATGGGGGCAAACCTGCGCAAGGCCGGACTTCTGAACTCCATACTAAAAGAACAACTCCAGTGAGTCTCTGTTTGGAAGGAGCGTGAGCAGATAGAGGAGGCGCTCAAGGAAACCTGTGGCCTGTGCCCTTGAATAACCTCTCTCAGGAACCTGGCTGGCAACTGGGTGCCCAGATGTGTACAGGGTATCTCATTCATTCCAAAGGCAGGTATACAGCTCTGCACATGCAAAGGAATGTTCCCCACAGATCTGCTTTCTCTGTTGGAATGACAGGGGAAGCTGTTGTGTGCAGGCAGATCTGCCTGTGTCTTCTGCTGCCAGGACTCATACCCCCGCCCAGTTTTTCACATGTAACATACATGTGCAATATATTTTTCATCCCAAGTTTATTTTAGAGTGCTGGCAAAATTGGGGGGGGGTTCCCCTCTCCTCCTGCCACCTTTGCAATTTGCAGAGGCATTTACGCCCCAGCCTCCCTCTCCACTGCCTCCCAGTTGTCTCCTTTCCACCCTCCACCCCTAGCTCCAGGGACTATGTCCTGTCATCTGTAGAGCCCTGACACTTCTGTTCTCAAGGTGCTGAGATCTAAAAGTATAGGAGAGGTTCTGTCCAAAAGAAGAGGAGATGAAAGATTTGGAGATATGCGCTTTGCTCGTACATGGTTAAAACCCTGCTTAAAATGCTTCTGTTTTCTGCAGTGTGCACACACTCTTTCTCTCTCTCCTCCTCTCTCTCTCTCTTATCCCCCCGGTGTTGTTACTGTGAAGGGAGATGAATAATTCATGGCCAGCGAATGCCTCACTGGGCCTAATCACCACTTTAATTGGAGGTTTAGATCAGAGGCGGCTAATAGCTCCTACAGCGGGGACTCCATAGATTGTTGACAGGGAGAGTGCTGAGAGCCTTATCGTTGGCCTGTTTCAATTCTCCGAGGACACCACCACACATAACAGCATCCAGGTCCCCTGATACCAAAGGACACAGACCGCAGGGCCAATTAAATTTATCAGGGAAGAACTGACAACTAACTTAAACAGGGGTGGGGGGAGAACTGGTGGAGGGCTAATAGGGTTGCTCCCTTCTCTGACGGCTGCCTGTCTTGGGTTGCCGGGGCTGATGCTTAGCTTGGCAGGCAGCTTGCCAAAAGTCCAGGAGCTCACAAACTAAAAGGGGACAGGCGCAGAGACCTCTCCCCTGGTTATATGGTGAGATTCAGGGCAAGAATCAGAAGAGGCCAAGGCTGCTTAAAAAACAACAACAACCAAAACATCTCTCCATCTGCATAGGATTGAATCTTCCTTTCTCTTCTTCCACTCCCACCCCCTGGCCATCTTTGCCTGGCATCACCGGGGAGCCGAATTGGACCCTCTGTTACCCATACAGACTTAATTTTTATATGTCACTCGGCCCCGAGGAGCGCGAGTCATTGTCTTTGCACGAAGACTTTAATTGCACTGTCGTGCTGGTATGGCTATAATTAACGTTGTCAGCGTTTCCCAGCCTTTTATAGACCTCTGCTTTCAAAGGTTTGTCATTTTGGGTTGGGAGGGGAGAAAAAAAATAGACCCTTTCTGGAAAGAGTGCGATAAGTCAGCTCTCAGCGGGTAGCCTTTTCCTTTTAAAATATATCTATACATTGAGTTTATTTTGGCAATATAGGGACTGAATTAAAGTATGGGAGACTTGCAGTTGGTTTTCCTCTGCACGGGAGGGGGATTGTTGCATAGTCTGAGTACAGAGACCTCCCTATCTTTGCAATAATTAAATTGCTGTCATGTCTTCAGAGCGCATGCAGTGGTTGTGAATCAGGCACACATGTACAGCTCACTCAGGAAGATGCACCATCCATTGTTTCCATCTTTTGTAAATTGGTGTTGGAGGAATCTCTGTCAAAACACTGCAGTGCCTTCAGGTCCTGGGTGCGGGTGGCTGGAGTTCTTTCATTTCTGATTGATGTAGCAGCTTCAAAGCCAATTGTCAATAGGTTAGTCAAAGGGCAAGTTTGAAATGGTTGTTCTCTTCAGAGGCAGCCACAAAAAAAGCTGCTGTTGGGCCAGCACTCTCCACTCCAGTCTTCTGGATGCAACTGGTGACACCCCAATAGGGATGTTGGAGCTCACATTCTACCAGTTAGTTTCCGGGCTCAATACAGAGTGCTGGTTTGGGCCTTTAAAGTAGGGCTGCCATATGTCTGGACCTTCCCTGACATTACCGGGATTTCAAAGGTGGAATGGACTTTTGGGTGGGTGGGGGGGATTTCTGAAAGGCGGCACTTTGTCCTGGATCTTAGGCAAGTTAATAGAAAAATCACTCAACAATTTTGGGTTTTTAAAAAATATGGCAGCCCTATTTAAAGCCCTATGCAGCTCAGAATACAGTACCTCAAGGACTGCCTCTCCACATATGAACACCCTTAATTAGAGGGCCCCCCTTCGTGTGCCCCCCTCAAGGGAGGTATTGAGGATGGCCACCGGAACAGACCTTTTCAGTAGTATGTCCCCGCTCCTCCCCCTGTAGAATGCTTTCCCTAAGAGGACACACCTGACACCATCCCTGCCAGTCTTTTGACACCAAGCTAAAACCTTTTGGTATACTCAGGCCTTTGCCTGCTATGCTGGTGGTCATTTTTTAGTGAGGTGGGTAGGACTTGTCCATATTATTATGTTACTGGATGGGAATTTGATTTTTTTTGGTGTGTTGTTGATCATTTTAAAATTTTCAGATTTTTAAATTGCTTTTGTGTGTTGCATTTTATCTTATCAAGTTGCTTTGAGGCTTTTTCTTTTGTATAAGGCAACTGATAAATGTTGGCATAATAATTCTGCTGGGCCCCTGCTAGTATGCAGTACCCTTGGTCCTTAGCTGCCTCTGCCTCTTGCTTGGTGCTCTCCCCTGTCACGTCAGGGCTTTTGTGTCCCCATTGCATCCTCCCTCATGGTGTTGATGCAAGCTGGCGTACTACTCTCCTCCGGCATCAGGGCTATCCTGCCTCTTCTCTGCATTGCATGACTTCCGGGTGAAATGAGAAGTGTGTGGCCTGTCTCCTGCTGCTGTGCCTTTACCCTCTTGACTTTCCCAGCTCCAGCAGGGTTTCTCTGCACAGTTTGGGGCCCTCTTCAGCTTGCCTGCCCCTTTGTAACTGGACCTGTGCCCTGGACCCAGGGCTGTGCTGCTGTACTACTTCCCAAATTCTATGCCAAGATAGTGACGCTGTGCCATCTGATTCAAATTAAAAAACCAAACTGGGCAAAAGCTGTTCAATATTTCTTTAATAGCAAACACTTAGGATGTTGTGTGTGTGTGTGTGTGTGTGTGTGTGTGTGAGCTTTTATGGAAAGCCACAGTTGAGAGAACTCTGAAAATGGATTTCCACTGGAACAAGGAAATGTTCTGCAAATGCCCTGATCTAAATAGCTCACATTTTGACCCATTGCTGTTAGCGGTTGGTGCTGGGCTTGGTTTCTGTCCAATTGCTCCACCCACCAGCTTTCAACTTCCTCTTTCTTTTCCCTCTAGGGTCGGTGGGGCTTCCACTGCCCGGAGTGCAAGTGCGCATAGCCTCAGAAAGCTCACAAAAGGAAGGCCCTGCCTACACCATCCATGCTGAAGGCGATGAGAATGGCACAAAGGTATTAACAAACTTGTGGAGAAGACAGGAAGGGCAAAGAGGTTAGGAAAGGGTTATTTTCTCCTGTCCACTTTGGTCCCCTTGCCAGGAGGAGTGCCATATCACTGGTGCTACTTTGGGGGCAGTTGGTGTTTTCTTCTTTTTGTTAGGTGGAGAGGCAAACTCAACTTATGTTTCTGAGTAGGCCTAGGCCCCCTGAACGCATGTTGTGAATACTGGAAAGGGGCCATAGCTGAAAGCCAGAGCACCTGCTTTGCATGCAGAAAGCCTCCATTTCAGTTCCTGGTATCTCCAGTTAAAAAGTGGGTCAAGCAGGAGGTGATGGGAAAGGTTTATCCGCCTGAAACCCTAGAGAGCCACAGCCAGTCGGAGCTGACAGTACTCTGCTAGAAGGCGGCTTCCTCTGTTCCTACTATAATACTGATTCAAATGGTGGTTTGAATCCACCTCCAAAATGTGGTTTCTTGGTTCAACCCAACCTGGACAAATGCCAGCATATTCAGAAGACCAGCTGAGCACTCTAGAATCTACCAGGAAAGTTAACTCAGAGGAGCTTGGCCATGAAAGAAATGGTTGCATAAATCACTTATTTAGTCTTTGGCCTGGCATCCTCATCTATCATCTATCCATCTATCTATCTATCTAATACAAATATAAACATTTTTCTAGTAAAGAAAGCCATACATGGCAGAACAAATTTCTACAAATTTAGCCAATGATTTTAATCTTTTATCTCTTTTGCAAGAAGGCAGCCTGGTCAATCATGCATTTCTCCAGGTCCACTTGTGCTGGAGGTTGTGCTGTGGGTGATTTCCAGACAGAAGCAGTGCTCATTCTAGCTGACATTAACAGGCTGCCCATTCCTCGCTTCGCTGCTGCTCCCCTCCTTAAACCCATTGATTTTATTTTTTTGCATTTTCTTTGTAAAGGCTGGAACCAAAATAAGTTATGCAAAGTGATGAAAATGTTTCTCTTGAAAAAGTTGGGGTTCCTGATTGTGGAATTCGTACTCTCTCCCCTTTCATTCTGCCCCTGTCAGCCACATCCACAAGAGGGCATTATCACTAACGCAGCAACTTTATAATAGCAAGAGAAATCTTATTGCTATGCTACTGCTTGCCCAAAGCACAAGAAAATAACAGGTTTCGGGTTTGGTGCGTTACAGAAAAGTAGGCACCTGGCAGATATATCTGCAAAGCAAATTTCAAAATTGGATCAAAAGAAGCTGCCTTAGACCTGGTCAGACTCTGAAGGGTCCATCTAGTTCAGCACCATCAACTCTAACCAGCAGTGGCATTTCAGAGTTTCAAACAGGGAGTCTTTCCCAACCCTACCTGGAGATGCCAGGGATTGAACCTGGGGCCTCCTGCATGAAAAGCAGGTGCTCTGCCACTTCCCATGGCTCTTCCTCATAATTGGGACACCTGCAGAGAAACTGTCTAGTCCCTAGTTGCTGCCTGAGGAATGAAGCAACACCTGGAGCAGCATCCCAGATGATGATTTGAAATAGTGGATGGGCTCATGTGGTAGAAGGTGGTCCTTCAAAAATGTTATGAATGACCAGTTGTTGCTTAGAATACTTCCTTCCTCCACCTGAGGTTTTTTCTTTAGAACTCCAATGTTTGGACGTGGTCTAACTTACTTGAGCATTTGCTTCTGTAATTCCTGCCTCCAGTTTATGAGAGCCATAATTAAACCTGCCTCTCGAAAGAGAGATAGAGATAGAAAGTTTAACCCACAGGATTAAATTCCATGGACAAGATTCTTACAGTCATGTTAGAAAGTCACACTTGGAAGTCCGAGAGCCATGCGATAGTGTGCCAAAAGAGCTGATGTCATTTGCAAAGCTAGTTTCTGGCGCAGCCCAAAGATCAATAAGCTACTTAGCGGGAAGTTTGCTGGCGCTGCCTCTCTCTCCTTTCTCCCACTTTGCTTCATTAGAGAAACCTCACTCTGAACCTCGGCACCATCCACAGTTTCCGATTTGGCTTCAGTGGTTCCTTGGCTTCAGTGACTATTAACCTCCATCCCATACTTTTGCCCTTGATATACGCTTGAAGGAGGGCAAGGATCAGCATCAAGCCCCACTGCACTGTTGCTAATAGTTCCTTTTAAAAGTATATTTTATGCGATATTATATATGATTGCGATTTAGTGCCTTTATAATACAAGTAAGAAAACTATAATGCACAAATTTCCAGAGCGGTAGCTGCATTAGTGTCTTGTAGCAAAAACACTCAGAGCTTTGTGGCACCTTTAAGATGACTATCTTTAACTCTTGAGAATGGTTCCCTGCCTCACTGAAGGTGTTAATATAATCATTTCAGCAATTATCACTGCTGTTGTAAAAGGTTACAAGTGTGCCTGTTTAACAGATATTTAAGCTTTAATTATCACTGGCTGTAATTTTTGCATCTCATTGCCATTCAGCTCCGGCCCTACCGTTTTCTCCTTTGTATACCTGCCAACTAAGATGTCATTTCATGTCTCTGACAAAGTGGTCTCGAGTCCACAAAACCTTATGCTGTAATAAATTTGTCAGCTTTTAAGGTGCCCAAGACTCTCTTGATTATAATACAGAAGCAGTGGGTGATAACTATTAGCCTGGAACCTGGTTTTTCCTCACACACATATATTTATATAAAGCATGGTTATTTAAAATGGTTTTATTCTATATATTAATGATGCCTGAACTGGTGGTGACTAGCCAGGTTTAGCTCTTGGAGTCATGGGAGATATGAAAATGTTGGCTCTGTGAACTGCAATTGAAAGTAGAAAAGGGCAACCAAAATGCTCAAGGGGATGGAGCAGCTCCCCTATGAGGAACATTTGGGACTTCTTAGTTTAGAGAAAAGGTGAGTAGGAGGAAATTACGCATGGCATGGGGAAAGTGGACAGAGAAAACTTTTTCTCCTCTCTCAGTAAAATTCATAGACACCCAGCGAAGCAAAAAGTTAGAAGATTCAGGACAGGCAAAAGAAAGTACTTCCCGCAATATATAGTCAAACTATGGAACTCACTCCTGCAGGAGGCAGTGATTGCCGCCAACTTGGATGGCTTTAAAAGAGGATTTGACACACTTCCATGGAAGATAAGCCCATGATAGGGCTGTGCTCCGCCTCCTATCACAGAGGCAGTACAGTCAAACCCTGCCCCCCATTTATACACATTCAGTATGTGTGTGACTACACACACGGACATCACACTGAACCCAGAAGTGATCTGAAAAGTCACATAAAGGGATGGAATAGAGCTGGGGCAGAACGGTGTGTTTGCAGGCCTCTTCAGTGGTGTTTCAAATATAAGTGATTTCACTGGCACGTGCGGTGCCTCGGAACGTAGTAGTAGTAGTAATAATAATAATAATAATAATAATAATAATAATAATATATTCCTTCCCATCTGGCTGGGTTGCCCCAGCCACTCTGGGCGGCTTCCAACACATATAAACACGTAATAAAACATAACCCAGAACATTTGTGGTATGAAAAAGTACAGGATTTCAGCAGGTAATCACTAGTCATTCCCCAATTGGAAATGAAGTGGCATGACTGCTATGGAACTTTTGCAAATGGCCCTGGCCCCAGTACGATCGTGAGTGCAAATCATCGTGAACGCAAAATCACAATAAAAAGGACATCTGGAGGGGCTCTCTAATTTTATCAGCATTGAGGGGCAGGAAAGGGTTAATCCCCCCTTTCTTCTTTGTTGCTCAGCTCTGGATATTTCATCTTGCTTTGTTCACTGGGATGCATATTTCATAGGCTGTAGCTTCCCAGCTGGCAGGAGCTTGCAAACTCTTGGAGCATAGCGGGTATTGTCTGTCTGTTTGTTTGTTTATTTTTAAAGCCGCCCCCCCAACTCCGCCACCACTCTCCCCCTCCCCTTAAAAAGGGGGAAAGAAAAGAAGCGCTTGCTTAGATCCAAGAGCCGAACTCTGAGCCTTGGCAGTGGGGCGCTGTCAGCAGATAAAACGGGCTCTGCAGCTGCATAGAAATGCCACGTCTCCTAACTGGGAGATTTTTGAGAGTGAGCAGTTTTCTTGCTACAGGGGCTTCAGGAAGAGAGGAAGCAACATGTGACTAGATGAGTGGCGGAGCACACTCTTCCTGACTTTAATTCACGCCATCTCCCATTTTTAAAAAGAAGAAGAAGAAAGGGCCATGGAGCAGGTGACACCCAAGGCCTCTCTCTACCTGAGCCCCCGGAGAGCTGCTATCAGTCAGAACAGACTGCACTGGCTTTGATCAGGGCTCAGGAACCTGTGGCCATCCAGATGTTGCAGGAGCATAACTCTCATCATCCCTCACCACTAGCTGTGGAAGTTGGAGTCCATGTGGGGCGCAGGACCACACGTTATTCCCTGCCCCAACTGAGATGCACAAATAGTCTGACCTTACTTCCTACGTAGTTGGAGATGCTAGGATTGAACCAGTGGGGTGTAGTGGTTAGAGTATTGGGCTGTTTTTAGGATAGAACGGGGAAGGGGGAAACAGTGCATGCCCCCTTGAGCTTCTGGTGGAAAAGTTGGGATATACAGTGGTACCTCGGGTTACATACGCTTCAGGTTACATATACTTCAGGTTACAGACACCGCTAACCCAGAAATAGTGCTTCAGGTTAAGAACTTTGCTTCAGGATGAGAACAGAAATCGTGCTCCAGCGGCGCAGCAGCAGCAGGAGGCCCCATTAGCTAAAGTGGTGCTTCAGGTTAAGAACAGTTTCAAGTTACGAACGGACCTCCGGAACGAATTAAGTACTTAACCTGAGGTACCACTGTAATTGTAATATTAAATAAATAAAATCTGGGGCCTTTTGCATGCAAGGCAGGTGCTCCAGCTATGGTCCCTCTGGGAAACTATGCCCTTCCAAGGAGCCCAGGTCTGCCACACCTCATATTGGACTCCATTATTTTTTTTCGAGGCCAGTGCAAATGGATGCACCAAGATGCATCTTGAAGAGCTGCGCTGGAGCTGGATTAAATATTTAGCAATTGTGAGT